ATATTCAAGCCTTTTAAAATACTCTTCAGTGGTGGCTTAAAGATTTTTTCCCCATAGGTCCTTTCTAACATATTTTCCTTCACCGTAATCCTTCAGTGAATATGGAGAACCTGAAGCAACCTGGAGATATAACTACCTACACAAGAGCATGATTTCTTCTTTATGGCCAGATTTCATTCTTTGCTCATTTCCTTGTTCTGCACTCAGATCTCTAATTTTTTTTTCAAGACAGTTCAGGGGATTTTCTTTTTCTTATAACAGTTAAGGTTCTCTTTCCTTTGGCCCTTCCCCCAATACCCTCCTCCCCCGCCCCTCCCTGCAGCTAGAATCCTCACTTCTAGCCAGATTGCTCTCCCTGCAGTCACCCTACATGTCCTGGTCCTCTTTGGCTATCCTAGCTCCCAGAGGGCTCTCCTTTCTCTCCAGTTCTGATGGACATATAGCAAAAGTATATAATGTTCATATAACCCCTTTCCCACTTAGCCAACCTGGTATGGTTACTGGTCTTTTTTACCTCTACGTCTTTCTTCCCAACAGATTACTAGAGAGGCCAAGTGTATTATCTTTTATTTGTTCCCCTCCTCTTCTTCACCCCACCAGAGATACCACACAAGTCTGAGGTGGTGTTCTGCACTTTAACCATTTTAACCACTGTTTCTTTAATCACCGTTACTGTTGGCAACAATTATGCCTTCACACCTGCACCGAGATTCTTCTCTCAAAGGGATGTTTTAAACGTGGGGTATGAGGTGAACCCAGTTTAGAGGTTTATTGAGTGTTGACTCCTCTTTGGAGAGAGCCTGTTTTCCTGATTTCTATTTTAAAACTTTAGAGAGATGGCTTTCATGGCATCAGTCAGCACCAGGGGGCAGGAGAGAAAGCAGCATGAATGGAAACAAGCACAAACTCAAAAGGACTGTGAGTAAACGGCGTAAGTATGTGAAAGCCTCCAACACAGTTCTTGGTACCTAGTAGGTAGGCTATATATGCTAGTTGAATCTGAAAGTTTTTTTTTCTTTTTAAAGATTTTATTTATTTATTTGTCAGAGCACAAGCAGGGGAAGCCGCAGGCAGAGCAGGCGGAGGGAGAAGCAGGCTCCCTGCTCAGCAGAGAGCCTGATGCGGGGCTCCATCCCAGGACCCTGGTACCATGACCTGAGCCGAAGGCAGATGCTTAACTGACTGAGCCACCCAAATCTGAAAGTTTTAAAATCCTTTAAAAATGATTTCTTAGTAAAGAAAAGGAATGGCCTTGGGTGTCCTAACCCAGGCCCCGGGGGGCCAACTCAACAGCCAGGAGGAAGCTGCAAAACTAACTCTGGGACAGGATCTTACTGTCTACACCCCTCATAATATCCAAGGCCTCCTATCAACTGATAGTAGTCACTGGCTCACGGATGGCCACCTTCTGTGGTACCAGGTACTCTTCCTGGAAGGCCCAGTTATGCAAATAAAAACTTGCTCTACTTTAAATACCTCCATCTTCCTTCAGGAAGAAGGCACAGGGCCAGAGCATGACTGTCAACAAATCATAACCCAAACCTATGCTGCCCGGGAGGATCCAGAACGGACTTTATTTTCTGATAGGAGCTCGTTTGTTGAACAGGGCACCAGAAAGACTGGATATGCTGTGGTCTCTTTATATGAAACAACAGAGAGTAACCCCTCCCACCTGGGTCAAGCGCCAAAGTGGCCGAGCTGAGGGTCCTCACCTGAGCTTTAGAGCTCAGTAAGGGCAAAAGAGTCAATATATATACTGACTCCAAATATGCCTTCCTGGTTTTACATGCCCATGGTACAATATGGAAAGAGACATTTTCTAACTGCTTCAGGTTCTCCAATCAAGTATAAATCACGTGGCATCTACAGGCCATACATCAAGCCCCAGAAGTAGCAGTTATACATTGCAAGAGGCACCAAAAAGGAACGGATGAAGTATCTGAAGGGAATAGATTGGGAGATTCTGCAACAAAATCAGCCGCCAGGTCAACTACCCCTATGGTTGCCCCCCTAGTCTGGGATGGCTCCATAACCCAGGAAAGATCCCACTCTTCAGCTGAGGAAAGACAATGGGCAACAGAACAGGGATATACTAGTCTTGAAGCACCTTTCGCCTGCCCTCTCCTCACAGTATGTGGAGAGTTCACTCAAACATCCTCTGTCTCTTGCTGGACTCCTGGCTGTACTCGGGCTTGTACTGTGCTTTGGGCCTTGCCTCCTAAATACCCTAACCCACTTTATATCTTCCAGAATAAAGGTCATCAAACTCCAAATGGTGGTGGTTCAGATGGAGCCTCACGTGGAAGTGAAACCAGACATCTACAGGGGACCCCTTGATAGAACAGGATGAGAGGAACCCTGACTGCTGCCCCATCCAACACCCCTGACCAGCAGGAAGTAGCTACGATTGGTCGTCACCCTTTTCCTCTAACAGCAGTTAGGGTTACCTCTTCAGAGGGGGGAATGATGAAAGATAGTTGGAAGGCAGGCAGGGAGGGACAAGCCCCCCCCCAAGGGGAAACCACCCTTAAGAGGATTTTATACCACCCTAGAAGGAGTCCTCCACCCTTTCCCGTATGATAGATAGGTGACGAATCTGATTGGATGACACGCGCGGGGAGGGTTAGTCAGATTAAAACAGCCCACCAACAAGTCCATAAAACCCCCTAGTCTTAGAAACTCCAGTTGGAACCCCTTCGGGTCCCCTCTCTCCTCAGGAGCTTTGTACTATCACTTTGCTATTGCTCAATGAACCTTGCTTTGCTGCCCACCAAAAAAAAAAAAAAAAAAAAAAAAAAAAGAAAAAGATTTCTCGGTTACAGAGGAAGTCCCTGTTCGTTGTAGAAAAATTAAAAAATACAAAGAGGTAAAATGGCAAACAAATTTTTAGTTACTCATAATCTCACCATCCAAAAATAAGCACTATTAACATTTTGGTAGAACTTATTCTATTTTCTATGCATGCACATTTTTCCTCTAAAATGGGATCACAATACAATCTTATTATTTTATGTTTCTCCATAACTTGAATTGGTAATATCCACTTTTTTAGTTCAACATGTGATCACGAATAGAGTCAAAAACTCCACCCAGTGTTCTTTCTAGTTTTGGCTCTGACCTAACCAGTCCCTGGCAAGCAGCTCAGCTTCTCTGAGTTTTAGATTCTTTGTGAAAAAAAAGACTCTGAAGCCAGTGATACCTAAGGCACCTTCCGCCCCCATCATTCTAATTGTTGATGGGTAATTAGAGGAAGACAATACGGCACAATGGCTGTCGCTCCGGCATCAGCCAGGTTTTAGTGCCAGCCCCTTTTATGGGGTCCTGAGCAGATTTCTTGACCTCTCAGTGCCTCAGTTTCCTTATCTCTAAAATGGGATTAATAATAGTACACACCACCTAGGGCTGTTCTGAAAAACAAATAGGTAAGACACGTACAACTCTTAGAATAGTGTTTGGCACATAGTAAAGGCCCAATAAGCAGTAGCTATTTATCAGTATAATAGCTCAGGCACTGGCCACCTGTGGTAAAGGAATAATAACTAAAACTAAGGGACAGAGTATGGATTTGAGAACCAGCAGGGGCTGAACACATGCACTGGACACCGTGCTAAGTTTTCTCATCAGCACAGTTTTATGTAATCCTCAGAACTTCACTTTCTCCACTTTAACTGTGAGGACGTTGAGGCTAGAACTTGCTTAGATTCATGTAGCTTGTTTAAGTGTCAAACCCAGAGACTATGTCACTTTCAGCCAGTTTTGGTTGGGCTGAGGGGCTAGAAGATCTACTACTAGTTGGATCTTTCCTTTCAAAAATCAAACCCAAGCATTAAGTACCTTCCCTGGTGATACTCAGCATGGGTGTCTTTCTCTTTAGTAACTCTATTTTAAAAATTCCAGTGTTTGAGAGTAATTTAAAAGACATAGGGATTTTTTTTTTTACATTTTACATTGTACATTTTGTACATTTTAATTGACTAGTGGATACCGAAGTTAACAGAGGAGAGCTAGGACGTGGGTTTTAGAAAAATAATTTATACTCGACTTAGAAATTTATGGTTGTAACTGATGGTCTAAAAACTCCCCAAACTAAACAAAGTAAGGAGACCTCAGCAAAAGTAACTGGTTTGGGAGAGTCATTAAATTTACAGGGAGATATTTTAACATTTTGGTTTCCACCTTACTGCCAAAGGACGTCAGAACTGAGTTGAGGGATTTGGATTGACCACTGGCTCTGTGACTGACCATCCACGTGAGCAAAAAAGGCCATTTCATTTCTGGCTTTAGTTTTCTCTTCCAAGGAGAAAAACTGAAAAATAGATCGAAATACAAAGCGTCTTTTAATCCAATGCCACATCACCCGTCTAAGGGTCTAGCATGCTTTATTAACATGTTAGAGAACTTGGTAACTCTGTGATGCATTTTTGGATTCACCCTAATTAAAAAATATGCAGCCAGAGGCACCTGGGTGGCTCAGTGGTTAAGCGTCTGCCCTCGGCTCAGGTCCTGATCCCAGAGTCCTGGAATCGAGCCCCGCATTGGGCTCCGCGTTCAGAGGGAAGTCTGCTTCTCCCTCTTCCATTCCCTTGCTTGTGTTCCTTCTCTGCTGTCTCTCTGTCAAATAAATAAATAAATAAATAAATCTTTTAAAAAAATAAGCAGCCAACCTCTGATTGCTTAGGCTAAGGCGATGGAGAAGATGAGTGGATGCATCAAGCAGTGAACGATATAAACATTTCGAATATGATACACATTTGAAAGGACCCACAACTCTCCGCTCTTCGGTTTAACTGTGTACAGACGCCTCAAGACGCAAAAGGCATCTCCTTTCCTGTAGCCCCACTGAGCTGGCACCCAGCCCGGGCGAGCTCTGCTGCTCTCTCTCCTGGCCTGCAGCCGCTACGTGCTTCGCGAGGCGGCCTCCACGCCCCCCTCGCCCAGGGTTCGCGTTACGAAGCTCCGACCAGCTGCTGGCCGAGTCCGGGAGCACTCCCCGGCGCACCACCGAGGTCACGTTCCCCGGGCGAGGGCTCGCGCCCTAACCGGGCGCTGGTTGGTCGCGCCGCGGGGCCAGCAGCCCGGTGATTGGTCCGAGAGACTGGTTCACGTGGTCCGGGGCAGATAACCGGCCTCTCCCGCACGGCACCAGCAATCGGCTGGAGCTCCAGCCGAACCAGGCCGGCGGGAATCCCGGTGCGAACTCGCGCAAACAACCGAGAGCCGGCTCTCAACGGTCCGCCGCCGCCTCTCTGCCTAATGAGCTGCACCAGGTAGGTTCACCGCAGACTCCCCGCCCCAGAGCAGAGGGGAGCGCACAACTGCAGGGAGATTGGGTGGCGTGGTCCTTCGGGCATCACTGCAAATGGAGACCCCGGAGGACGGTAAGCTGGCTGACTGCAGAATTGAATCTGGTCCCGGGGAAGCCTCGGATTGTGGAGATTTGCTCTGCGCTTCTTAGCCACAGTTTATTTTGGTAATTAGCATCCCAAACCAGAAACTCTTGAACGTGAGTCAGCTTTAGTTCTGATTCCCTCTTGGATTCCGACTGTTTTCTCTTGATCCACACAAATGTCCCAAGAACTGGGGCAGCTTGTGGGAACAGCACCTTGACCTTGCTGGTTGGGTAGTTTAGCTTGGGAGAAAAACTGCAGTACGGTGTTCTGCATTCTTTCGCCCTCCTGCACCTTTCTTACCACGGTTTGCCATAGTAAACTCAGTCGTGAAGTTTGAGCAAATGATGATTTTTTAACTCTTGGCCAGGACTTAAAATTCCAGGGAAACTGCCAGATCCTTAAACTGTCTTTCTGTAAGTGCAAAAAGTAAAAATGCAAAACAAAACCACAAAACAAAAAAACCTTCCATAAAACTACTTTAAATAGCTTCTCCAGACATGACTTACTTAGCAGAAGACTTCTCTAAAAATCCTGCCTGTTAACTATTATTAGATTCACAAATATAGCTGTAGCTTTCATTTGTTTGTTCTAAGTTTGTAGGCCTCCCAGAAAAATCCCAGGACTAATAAATTCTGTGAACGTTCTTGTATTACCTGTTTTGTGTGGTGATGACCATTTATTTGCCTATGTGCTTAGAGCTGCTGTGAAGTTATTGAAGACAGATTGAAAAATGTCATGTACAGTATACACATACCTCCTATCTGCACGGAGAGGATGGGAGAAAAATCCATAAGCTTGGGAATATGTATAGAGGGCTAAAGGCCAGGAAAAAAACCTGATGGACACTTCTGAATTTAATACTGCTGAGCATAGTTATATTTAAATTTTTAAATAGCTATTACTATCTTCCTAGTTATAAATATCCATTGCCAAACATTAGAAAATACCAAAAAAGTACAAAGACAAAAATAGATCACGAATGATCCTACTGCCCAGAGATAAGTAACTTTTTGGTGTATTTCCTATTAAGTGTTTCATAAATTCATATATACAATATATATTAAAAACAATTTTCAGGTAATCAGCTTTTTCCACCTAAATGTGTGTCATGAATATTTTTCTGTAAGTGCATGAACTGGTGACATGCATTTCAGTTGGTTATTTGTGAAAAATGAGGACGAACACAATAAAGTGCAAAGCTAATCCTCTGACTTCATTCTTTCCAGCTCTCTCACTCTCAAAACTGTTCCATGAGAGTTTTATTGATATTTTTTTTCCTTTTCAAGTGGATTACCTTTCCAGAGAAGTGTAATCAATTTAACAGCAAAATCAGCAGAGCATCCAGAGGGAGCACAGAGTCTGGAATCATGGTTCTGGAACCTGTCTGGTCATTAGAATCACCTGGGAAGCCCCTGTCCCCAGCCCCCAGAGGTTCTGCCTCAGTGGCTTTAAGTCCCAGGAATTGGCTTTAAAGAAGAAGAAAGAAAACCAACTCTCCGGGTCATTGTGACTAGACAGGTGTGAGAACCACTGGCTCAGAACAGAGCAAATGGTTCTTAGAGCTGTATTAGAGATGATCACATCCAGCCCTTTTATTTCTCAGATGGGGATACTGAGACCCCCAAGTGTCTTAAGCAGTTAACCCATGGCCTTGTAGTCTGTTAAGGGCATAGCGAGACACAGGATGCAAATCTGATCGTCTAATACTGTTTTCTTTTACTACATATGAAAACACATCCCTGATGCTTACTGTGCTAGTTATAGTTAAGTCAATACAAAAATAGTACATGTATATTTGGAACCTGGGGAAGAGCATTCCAGGTCCAGGTGATAACCCCTCTTCTTTTGTATTCCAGAATGATCCAGGTTTTAGATCCGAGGCCTTTGACAAGTTCAGTCATGCCAGTGGATGTGGCCATGAGGCTCTGCTTGGCTCATTCGCCACCTCTGAAGAGTTTCCTGGGCCCTTATGATGACCTCCAACGAAGAAATTTTGTGAACAAATTAAAGCCTCTGAAACCGTGTCTCAATATAAAACAGGAAGCCAAATCACCGAATGAGTGGAAGCATTCACACGACCAAGCCAAGAAGCGGGTTGTGTTTGCTGACTCCAAGGGGCTGTCTCTCACCGCCATCCACGTCTTCTCGGACCTCCCAGAAGAACCAGTGTGGGATCTCCAGTTTGACCTCTTGGACCTTAATGATATCTCCTCTGGCTTAAAACTCCATGAGGAGAAAAACTTGATTTTAGATTTTCCCCAGCCTTCAACTGATTACTTAAGTTTTCGGAACCACTTTCAGAAGAATTTTGTCTGTCTGGAGAACTGCTCTTTGCAAGAGCGAACATTGACTGGAACTGTGAAAGTGAAAAACATGAGCTTTGAGAAGAAGGTTCAGATTCGTATTACTTTTGATACCTGGAAAAGCTACACTGATGTGGACTGTGTCTATATGAAAAATGTGTATGGTGGCTCAGATAGTGACACCTTCTCATTTGCCATTGACTTACCCTCTGTCATTCCAACAGAGGAGAAAATTGAGTTTTGCATTTCTTACCATGCTAATGGGCAGGTCTTCTGGGACAACAACGAGGGTCAGAATTACAGAATTGTCCATGTGCAATGGAAACCTGATGGAGTGCAGACACAGACAGCATCTCAGGACTGTGCATTCCACCAGGTGCCCCCCAAGACTGAGTCAGAGTCATCCATCTTTGGCAGTCCAAGGCTGGCCAGTGGGCTTTTCCCAGAATGGCAGAGTTGGGGGAGAATGGAGAACTTGGCCTCTTACCGATGATTAAGTAACCTAGGGACTGGTTTTGATCTGCCATATTTCCAATGTAATTCTAGGTCTGTATTGCTCAATATTAGGAAGTTTTTGCTACTTTCCTTCATTAAGTGTAGTTTTGAGCTTTTGAGACCTGGCTACAAAAAGATAGCCACTTGAGAATTTATTGTTGAGGTCTATACGATGATACTGCCCAATTTTGCTTTGGAGGATCAAGTAACAGCCTGTAACCCTCTTTTTGTAAAAAATAATAATAATAATACTGTTTCAAGGCCCTTTCTCCTTCCCTCTCAATTCACTAGCTTTCACGTTGGGCAAGGAAAGGTTGAGAAAGGACAGTTGATGGTGATGGCAAGCTGTTTTAATGGTATGAGGAATGTCTGAAAAGTGCACACAAAGGGCTCCGCAGCTCAAGTTAGAGTAGGAGCGGTCTGATACTTCGCTGTTGGTGAGAAAATGTAAGGTTACTTTGTGTTTTTAAGTTGGTTTTACAGTTCTCTCCTAAGGAAATCATTTGTGTGGGGGGGAGGGAAGATTCCATTTTATATATTCTTGTGGAGAGAACCCAAACTTTAGAGGTGTTGGGTGGTATTGGGGAAAGGTGAATTATAACTCTGGAGAATCAAGATTTTAAATGAGGCCTTTCTTTTCAAACATTTATGAAAAAGCATGATTTGGGGATAGTTTAAGCAAATCTGGCTTTGCAGTCCTCCTAAGTGATCTTGTTTGTGATCAAGGCGTCATGCTCAGGGACTCAGTACAAAGATTGCTCTTTGCAAGTGCCTTGATTAAGCCAGAATATCGTGTTGTTCCCAAATATCTGAAGGGTCATATGGTAACTCATGAGTGTTTGACTTTATAAGAAGGTCCACTCTGTATACTGGCATCCCTTTTGTAATACTGTTGTATCTTTGAGAGTGTTGCCAGTGTACACAACTTGCATCCTTCATATTGAAGGTGACTTATTTTTCTGCCATACTTTTTTAGATGTGATGTTGGAAGTGAGGACTGACACGGATTCTCAATTCAAGAATCCAGTACCTTGCACATAGAAGCAGCAATCTATTTTGTGCCTGTATTTGTCTTGTTTTAAGTCTTTCTACCAACTTCTTTGAAGTTAAAATATTTTTTTAATAGATGTGAACTGTTTGGATGTATTGTAATATAATATTTTGGGTTGTGCATAAATCCACTCTATAAGATATTAAGAACAGGAATCCTTGAATGTTTGCTTCTATCATTGCGCACATCCATTGAGAAGTGTTCAGAGAATGCAGTTAATTCTAACAAGTGTGATCTGCCATGCTGGAAAAGTACTATTGGAATAACTATGACAGTGTTTGAGCTTTAGCTAGCACCAACAATTTTTCTACTCTAAATATTTCACTCTCCTATAGCTATCCTTTGTGAACTTCTCACTTTAAGAATAAAAGTGTTTGATACAAGACCTGAGTATGTTTTCTTTCTCAAAGCCACAGTCAAATAAACCATCAACAGATTCTCCTGTTTTAAGAACAGCTGAGCAAAGATAGTTTGGACCAGGAACTGGATTCACCTGAGGGTATTCACATGGTTCCAGTCTCAATAGTGAGGACACTTCCTACTGCCTGACCACTAGGGCTAGGGTCCAGGAACAGTGACTTGAGCTGCTGTGACTGTCCCCCTGATTATCCCCATTTGTACTTAATGCTCATCATGTATACTCTCTGCTGGGTCAGGGTTCTCTTGGGGGCCACTCATCAGCTTTAAAATCGGGGAGGAGATTGTGTGGGAAGAGCTGGAATGGGCTTCTACCCCAGCACCTTCCCGAAGGGGCAAAGATTGGAGCCGCACAGAGGGCATAAGGAGGGGGCAATGGGCACCAGTCCTGGACTGAAAGGAGAGAGTAGGCTCCCAGCAGTGAGAGGCAGCAGGTCTATGAAACTTAGTTGTAGTTCCAGTTCTTGTGTGAAATTCCAGAAAGGTGTAAAATTCCAGAAAGTGCTTCTGCATGGGTTATCTTAAACTTAAGGTGAAACGAATGACCAACCTACTGAAAAGACCCAATTATAAAAAACAAATTTTGTATCATAAAATCCTTTTTATCAGAAGTTGTAAACTACAGGCCTGTAGGTTGTATCTGGCTACAGATGTATTTTGTTTGACACACAGTATCTACAACCAGGATCTTAGCCTGGATAGGAAGAATTCTAGGGGTGGTTCTAGTACCTAAAGAAGTACTGCATAGCACACCCAAAATTACATCCTGTACAACCTGATCAAGATGAGTATGGCCTTGAAAATGTAAAAATTAAAGTCTTAGATTACTCTCCACCCAAATTCCTCCACGACAAAACACCTGAAAATGCTAGATAAAATATTTTTGAATTATATTTTAATATAATAATAATAAATTTTAAAAGCATTGCTGAGCTGGGAAGAAAGGAAGGATGGCCTTAAAGGCCTCCTCTGCCCCCTAAATAAAAAGCAAAAGCAGGACCCCAGAAAGTAATTGTATACTGAAGCTGGCAGCTGTCCTGAAGTCACTTGCTAATCTGGTGGTGACCAACTGGTCCTGGTGACCAACATTAGTCCTTAACATCTATGGCTGCTAAGGGGCCAGAAATGAAGGTTAGTGTCCATTAAGCTGGGAAGTGGTCACAGTGAATATCTAGCATAGCTAGGACCAAGAAGGACACAACCTCATTAAGAAAAAAATATAACCCTTCTTACAAAGAAATTCAAGCAGGAAAGATGCCTGTACCTCTGGGTAGAAGGAAAAAACAAACTCCTTTTAAAATTCATAACCACAATTTGGCCCTCACATGGATTTGCAATCTGAATTCACGTTCCTTGTATTCTGAAAAATCTCAAACCAAAAATTCATTAAAAATGATCCCTGGTTGGGCGCCTGGGTGGCTCAGTTGGTTAAGCGACTGCCTTCAGCTTGGATCATGATCCTGGAGTCCTGGGATCGAGTCCTGCATCGGGCTCCCTGCTCGGCAGGGGGGTCTGCTTCTCCCTCTGACCCTCTTCCCTCTCGTGCTCTCTCTCTTAAATAAATAAATAAAATCTTAAAAAAAAAAGATCCCTGGTTGCAGTACCCACAGGTGCTCAGTAGAAGCAAACACAAGTACGCTCTAAAAATGTGCCTTTAATCTAAGCCCCAAAGAATTTTCATCAAACACGAATTCACAAAGAAATAAAAAGACAAGTCTTTGACAAGATGCATGAAAAAAAAGCTAAAAAAAAGAGAATTAAAGAATGTCATAATTATAGGTAATGCATAAATAAATATTAGGGCATTATGGACAACTTCATGCTAATAACTCAGAAAACTTAGATAAAGTGGAGAATTTCTAGACAAATGTGTTGTATCAAAATGGTTTCAAGAAGAAACAAAACCTGGCTAGTCCTATAAACATTTAAGATCAGTAATTAAAAATTGGTGGCTTAAAATTTACTCACAAACAAAATACCTGGTCCAGATATTTTTACAGGTGAGTTGTATCAAACATTTAAGGATCAAATATTTTTTTTCAAAAGATTTATTTATTTGAGAGGGAGAGAGAGTGGGGGAGGGCCAGAGGGTGAGGACGAGGAGAGAGCACCTCCAGCAGATTCCCTGATAAGCACAGAGCCCGAGGTGGGCGTCGATCTCGTGACCCTGAGATCATGACCCTGAGATCACGACCGGATGCTCAACTGACTGAGTCACCCAGGCACCCCTAGGATCAAATATATATATATTTTTAAAAGATTTTACTATTAGAGAGAGAGAGAGAGAGTACAAAAGTGGCGGAAGGGGCAGAGGGACAACCAGACTCCCCGCTGGGTCTGACCTGGGGCTCAATCCCAGGACCCTAAGTTCATGACCTGAGCTAAAGTCAGATGTTTAACTGAGTAAGCCACCCAGGTGCCCCAGGATCAAATATTTCTAATTTTATATAAAATATTCCAGAATATAGGGGCACCTGGGTGGCTCAGTCGTTAAGCGTCTGCCTTCAGCTCAGATCATGATCCGAGTCCTGGGATCGAGCCCCGCATCAGGCTCCCAGCTCGGCAGGAAGCCTACTTCTCCCTCTCCCACTCCCCCTGCTTGTGTTCCCTCTCTCACTATGTTTCTCTCTGTCAAATAAATAAATAAAATCTTTAAAAAAATATTCCAGAATATATAAAAAAGAGGGAATATTCCTCAACTTATTAATGAGTTAGCATGACCTTGATACTGAAACCTACTGGGGACAGTAAAGTACAGTTGTAAGCCAATCTCACTTATTAACAGATACAAAAATTTACAAACAATAAATTATTAAAATGTATAAAAGATAATGTATTATGATCAAGTTGGGTTTATTCTAAGAATGAAAAATTGGTTTAATACTAGAACATCAATTACTATAGCCTGACACATAAATAGATTAAGGGAATAAAAATATACAGTCAGCCCAATAGATGTCAAAGAATGTTTATAAAATTTTACACCCTTAATGGAAAAAAGAGCCCTGAAACAAGGAATAAGGGAAATTTGGAAAAGGGTATCTACTGAAAATAAAAACAAAACCTACAAACATCATATTATGGTTAATATTGAAACTTCTTTTAAGATAAGTTCTTCTATCACGACCTCTCTTAAACATTGTGCTGGAAATCTGAGCCAGTGAAGTAAAGCAAGAAAGAAATAAATACAGGATTGGTAGGAAACAAAGAAAATTATCATTATTTACAGATAATATGTTTACCTGCATAGAAAATCCAAAAGAATCTACTACTATTATTAGAATAAATATGAGAATCAGCAAGGTTGTTGGATATAAATTGTTGACAGTTAGCTTACAAAATGGCCCCAATGGTGCTGACCTTCAGAGATTCATACCCTTGCATAGTTTCCTCCCATGCTGTGCCAGAGTTGCTCTTGTGTAACCCATAGAATACAGCAGAAATTATGGCATGTTACGTCCAAGATTAGACTATAAAAGACACTGTGGCATTCATTTTAGTTGCTTTCTCTCTCTCTCTCAGATTTGCTTGCACTAAGGGAAGTCAGTTACCTTGCAGCCCTATTGGGGTTGCCCATGTGGTGAGGAGCTGAGGTCTCTTAAGAGCCTGGAAATGGATCCTCCACTCCCAGTCAAGCTTTCAGATGATTGCACTCTTGGCTGATACCTTGATTACAACCTAATGAGAAACCTTGAGCCAAAACTTCCCAGCTAAGTTGCTTCTGAATTTTTAACTTAAAGAAACTATGAGGGGCGCCTAAGGGGCTCAG